TTTTCTCAATCTAGAATATGTAGGCACTAGTTACAGAATTGCTCACCATGTCACTGCCAAAAACGGATCTATCAGCTAGAATTCAGAATATATAATTTTTGGTCTTTAGCTTGAGAGTTTGAAGATTTATGGTCAAAATACAGTTTTCAGAAGATATTTGGATTCTTCATGTATCCTCCATCCTGTGTGGCTGTGTTACTTTATTTGAAATGTAGTTGGGTCCATTTGTTCCTCTTGTGTTCCATTTTAGGGTTTCCCCTACCCCCTTGTTTAATTAATTAACTGCAAGCATGTGAAACACTACCAGGGTTCAGTAACACACGTCAGACTTAGGAGATGTGTTTAGAGAAGTGCCCCTCCACTCCCCTCCTCCATTCCTTCTTACTCTGTCCCCACCGAGCCCTAGGAGGTGAACAGTCTAGTTGGGTTTTTGTTTTTATCCTTCCTGTATTTCTTTTTGCATAAATGATCAGATCCATGTATATATATTTATTGTGTTATTTCCCCTTTGTTACACAGAAGTTGCCATAGTTAGATCTGTTTCTGCATTTTACTTTTTTTCACTTAATGTATTCTAGAAATCTCTATACCAATTTATAGCAAGCCTTCTCATTCTGCTTAATGTATCTTTGTATGGATGTACTATAATTTGAGTTACTGTTCTGTGTATGGGCATTCAAGGTGTTTCAATATTTTGCAATTTTTTTTTTAAGATTTCATTTATTTATTCATGAGAAACACAGAGAGGGGGGCAGAGACACAGGCAGAGGGAGAAGCAGGCTCCAAGCGGGGAGCCCGATGCGGGATTCGATCCTGGGACTCCAGGATCACACCCTGGGCTGAAGGCAGGCGCTAAACTGCTGAGTCACCGAGGAATCCGTCCAATATTTTGCAATTAAAGACAATGCTTCAGGGGTGCCTGAGTGGCTCAGTTGGTTAAGCTTCTGCCTTCCACTCAGGTTATGACCCCAGAGTCCTGGGATCGAGCCCTATATCTGGTCCCACTCCCAGCAGGGAGTCTGCTTTTCTCTCTCCCTCTCCCTCTCCCCTTGCTTGTGCTCACTCTCTTACTCAAGTAAATAAATAAAATCTTAAAAAAAAAAATGGCAATGCTGCATTGAGTAACCTTATGTGTGTGTATTTTTGTATTATTAAAGGTATGTCTTCAGGGGAAATTCCTAGAGGTGAGTTTCTGGATATACAGTAAATGCATTAAGTAGTTCTGTTAGACATTATTGGATGCCTTTCATAAGGCCATACCAGCTCTGTTCTCACCAGCAACTTACGAGAGTGTTTGTTTCCCTTACACCCTTCACAAAGGAATGTGTGTCATAACTTCTCATTTTTGCCATTCTGAAAGGTGAGATGTATCTCAGTGTTGTTTAATTTGCATTTCTCCTATTGTGAGTTAGACTGGTTCTGTTTTTTGTATCATGTATGCATTGATTATAGTGATTGTTTATTTTGCTCACTTTTTCTTTTTCTTTTTTTTAAAGATTTTAATTAGTTATTCATGAGAGACAGAGAGTGAGAGGCAGAGACATAGGCAGAGGGAGAAGCATGCTCCAAGCAAGGAGCCTGATGCAGGACTCAATCTTGGGACTCCAGGATCACGCCCTAAAGCCTAAGGCAGATGCTTAACCGCTGAACCACCCAGGCGTTCCTATTTTGCTCACTTTTCTATGTGTTTTTTACTCCTTGATTTCTAAGAGTTTTTTGTAATTTAAGGATATTAGTCCTTTATTTTTTATTTATTTATTTATTTTAAAGATTTTATTTATTTATTCATGAGAATACACATAGAGGAGAGAGAGAGGCAGAGACACAGGCAGAGGGAGAAGCAGGCTCCACGCCGGGAGCCCGACGCGGGACTCGATCCCAGGACTCCAGGATCGTGCCCCGGGCCAAAGGCAGGCGCCAAACCACTGAGCCACCCAGGGATCCCGATATTAGTCCTTTATTTGTGAGATGTTGCAAATATACTCTCCCAGTTTAATTTTTAAAACTTTGCTTACAATGATTTTTTGGATCATGTACAAGATATTTAATTTTTTTTAATATTTTAATTTTTATGTAGTCAAATTTATCAGTTCTTTGTTTCATCATTCAGGATTTTTTTTTAAAGATTTTATTTATTTATTTATGACAGACACAGGGGGGGAGAGAGAGAGAGGGAAAGACACAGGCAGAGGGAGAAGCAGGCTCCATGCAGGGAGCCCAACGTGGGACTCAATCCTGGGTCTCCAGGATCACATCCTGGTCCGAAGATGGCGCTAAACCGCTGAGCCACCCGGGCTGCTGTCATTCAGGATTTTGAATCATAGTTAGAAAGCCTTGGAATTTATGTTTTAAAAGGTGTGAAATAGGGCTTGTTCATTTTTTTTTTCTATTGTGAGTATGCAATTGATCTAGTCATTTATTGAAAAACTCATTTTTTTTTAATTTTCTTTTATTTATTTATGATAGTCAGAGAGAGAGAGAGAGGCAGAGACACAGGCAGAGGGAGAAGCAGGCTCCATGCACCGGGAGCCTGACGTGGGATTCGATCCCGGGTCTCCAGGATCGCGCCCTGGGCCAAAGGCAGGCACCAAACCGCTGCGCCACCCAGGGATCCCCGAAAAACTCATTTTTTTTCTGTATTCCTTCTTTGGTCATAAATCAGGTGTCTATATATGCAGTTTCTTTTTGGATTTTTTTCTATTCCACTTGTTTATTCATGTTCCAGTATACTATTAACCATAGTTATTATGATAATTGCAGAGTTTTTGACTTGGTACTCTAATGTATATTTAACTTTGCCATTACCCAAAGACAAATTGTAAAAAGAAATGTGACGATGAAGCCATTTTTCACATGACTGTGTAAGGTGGTTTTCAGATGTAATAGTTATGAAAGAAAACATATTTAATTTACGAAGAAAGATAAACTACCTAAAAGCTCATTTTAACAGAATATAAGAAGTGATTTGAAAATATACGGTTATGTTGAGTTTATTTACTGATTAATTGATGAGGGACAAATTGACAGGAAGGAAGTAGAACTTGATTTACAAATTTACATAGTTGACCAATTTCATAAACAGGAACTATTCTTTTTTTTTTTTTTTTTAACATTTTATTTATTTATTTGAGAGACCAGGAATGAGAGCAAGCAAGGAGGAGGAGGGGAAGAGGGAGAGAGTTAGAAGGAGAAGCAGGCTCCCCTCTGAGCAAGGAGCCCAACCAGGGTCTTGATTCCAGGACCCTGGGGTCATGACCTGAGTGGAAGGCAGATCCTTAACCAGCTGAGCCACCTAGGCGCCCCAGAAACTAGTCTTAATGTGAACAGTCCTTAATGATCAATGTAGTATCCTCCTTTCTTGTTACATATAACTAGATTTTTCATAATGTGACAATCCTAAATTACCAAAGCTTAATTAGTTTAATTTGTTTAAAATATTAATCCTTTTCTACCCTCAGTAAGACAGATTGATGTAGCTAATGGTATTATAACTTTTATAATTGAATGATGAGAACAGAATCTATTCCACTGACATTTAGAACAGGAAGAGACTTTAGAGATTAGTAATTTATGGACCGTTTTAATCTGTAGAGATGAATTTATTATGACTGCCCAAGAATTTATTATGATTGTGTGGCTCCAGATAGATAACAGTAATAAATCAGTTGGCTAACTTATGCTTTCACCTTAAAAGGACAAAACTTTTTGGTTCTTTTTTATTAAAAAGTAGTTTTTCTTGGGGTCTCTGGGTGGCTCAGTCGTCGGTTGAGCATCTGAGTCTAGATTTCAGCTCGGATTATGATCTCTGGGTTTGGGGACTAACCCTCTCATTGGGCTATGTGCTCAGTGCAGAGTCTGCTTGAGATTCTCTCTCTCTCTCTCCCTGTGCACCTCCTGCTTATGCTTTCTCTCTCAAATTTAATTAATTTTTTTAAAAGTAGTTTTTCTTTTTTTCAGTTTTTTAACTCCTCTATGTTCTTTCATTCCTAGAAGTAAAAAGATTTTTTCACCATTTTTCTTTAACAATTTTATACCCCATCACATTATCCAGGGAGTACTTGTTTTGTTTTTGTTTTAATTGAAGTATAGTTGACACTTATATTCTTTTTAAAAAGCTCGTATTTTCTTCAGTCTGTAAAATATAAATAAGTATTACAAAGGCTCTTTCTCAAGCAATATGATCATTTAGGCTGACTAACCCTCACTCTAACCTTAAACTCCCTAGTTTTTATTTATGTATTACCTAAGCTTTAAAAAAAAAAAAAATCTTTCAATTTTGGCCTAAATTAGACTACGAAAAAAATTAGGGCAGATGAAAAGAGTAAATTTCAAAATAATGGCTCCATCAGTGCTTAACTTTATTATTATTTTATTTTTAAAGATTTTATTTATTTATTCATGAGAGAAACAGAGAGAGAGGTAGAGACACAGGCAGAGGGAGAAGCAGGCTCCATGCAGGAAGCCCGACAGACTCGATCCCAGGTCTCCAGGATCACACCCTGGACCGAAGGTGGCGCTAAACCGCTGAGCCACCCGGGCTGCCCAATGCTTTACTTTAAAGCAGTAAAAATTATTTCTGATTCTCAGGGGTATTTCTCTCTAGAAATTGCAGGATGGCATTTTCTGTGGCATTATAGAACTTTTCCTCAGAGCCTGTGTGATAATGCTCATATGACTTATAAGTCCTGTCCTAGATGAAAGAGGATGTCTTCACTGTTTCCTATCTCTCACTGACTGGCACGTGTGGGTGCCCAGTAGGCTTCCATAAAATCTTCGATTACATTTATGATTTTCATATTTCATATGTGTGATTGTTTATAAACCAGTAAAGAGGTTCTTTTTCTGAAGTGCAGTATGAAGTACTGTTTGGTAACTGTCAGAAAATCTTTGTAGAGCTCTTGATCTTGAATTCGATGTAAAAACCAAGAGCTTTGTTTAGTCTTAAAATATTATTTACTTTTGCTTCATCATCCAGTCAATTTATTTTCTGTTGCCTCTAGACCAAGAGCAGTGATGACCTCTTAGCTGGAATGGCTGGAGGGGTGACAGTGACTAATGGTGTTAAAGGAAAGAAAAGCACCTGCCCTTCCACAGGATCTTCAGCCTCAGCCCCTGCCATGACCACTGTGGAGAACAAGTCCAAGATCAGCACAGGTATGGGCGACATTCAGAGTAAGAGTTAAACTGCTTTTTGGTTTGAATGGCAGAGTACAGTGGTATTTAAGGGGTTCCGTTGATTAAAGAAAATATTGGGCATGGACAAAAGTATTTGTATTTCAACCCCATGTACTCATCACCCTTATCAACTAATGGCCAGTCTTAATTTCTTGATACCCACTTCCCTCATTATTTTGAAGCAAATTCTAGGTGTCCTATAATTTTATCCACAAATATATAATTATTTTTGAAAGATAAGGATTCCCCTAAAAATATAATCATGATGCCATTACCAGCCCTTAAAATAATTATTAATCATTCCTCAAATCATAAATATAAAGAAATACTTATTCAAATTTCCAACTTTTTCCTAAACCTTTCTTATGTATAATTAACTGTCTGTGGATCAGAATTTATTTAAGGTCCATATATAATAATTGTTACTCTTTCTTAAACCAATTCTTTTTCTTACAATTTAAATTTTATAGAAACTAGTTATTTGACTTACATTTTCCTGTGACTTGGATTTTGGTGTTATATCCCCTTGGTGTCCTTGATCATGTTCCTTTGTTCACTTACTGTTAATGTTGTTGGATCTAGAGCCTTGATGGGACAGATTCAGGTTCCTTTTTCTCCCCCAAAACTCCTTCATACATAGTAGTTGTCTATCCACCAGTAGCACCTCATTTTGCTGTCTGTCTTGCCTTGATGTTAGCAGCCTTTGACAGTCAGTGACTGGATCCATTCATTCCTGTTCTACCGTTTGTTCTTCATTCATTAGCAGCAGTTTGGCTTTAGATTGATGGAGTCCATAAATTAACTCATCCTGTAGTCTAAGGAATAACATTATCAGATTTTACTTTTTTTTTTTAAAGGTTTTGTTTGTTTGTTTGTTTATTTATTTATTCATGAGAGATACAGAAAGAAAGGCAGAGACATAGGCAGAGGGAGAAGCACACTCCATGCAGGAAGCCCAATGTGGACTCGATCCTGGGATTCCGGATGATGACCTGAGCCAAAGGCAGATGCTCAACTGCTAAGCCACCCAGGCGTCCCTATATTTTACTTCTTATACTTACAGAAAAAAACTTCAGAAGTTCCAGGAAACACAAGATCCACATGTTTGTTTGTTTGTTTATTTATCTTTAAAAATATTTTATTTATTTATTCATGAGAAACACAGAGAGAGCGAGAGGCAGAGACACAGGCAGAGGGAGAAGCAGGCCCCACACAGGGACCTCGATGTGTAACTCGATCCCGGGACTCCAGAATTAAGCCCTGGGCTGAAGGCAGGCACTAAACCACTGAGCCACCCAGGGATCCCCCTGTTTATTTATTTAAATAATTTTATTTTGAGGTAATCTCTACACCCAACATGAGGTTTGAACTTACAGCCCCAATATCAAGAGTCACATACTCCACTGGCTGAGACAGCCAGGCATCCAAAGATCACATATTTGTAATGCAGCTGGTGGAAGCACATTGTCAAAAACGTAGCAGACCTTTTTTATCATCATTATTTAGGCTGTTAGCTCCTTGTGTGTGTATTAGACTTTTTCCTAGTCCAGGTGTACCTACTGTCCTCTCTCCTGTTTTGACCTTCTGTGGACTCATCCTTCTATCTCAGATCATGTTCCGTGGTTAATTATATTAGTCATATGGTATGATCACAAGGAAGAAACACGGAAGGCACTGTTAACACCAGGCACCGTTCCATTTTATCCTCACTATAGCCCTTTGAGGTAGAGGCTGCTATCTTCATTTTAGAGATGTGAGAGCTATGCTTAAAGCACTTAAAGACACTTAAGTATCTTGCCTAAGGCCTTGCATTCATTTGTTCAGAAAATATTTATTGGGTACTGTAATAGTTTGTACCAGGCTGTAGAGCTGATGGAGTAAGGACTGTCCCTTGAATCTTTTACTTTCAAGCCTGAGGTCATCGCCACACTTAACACTGCAGCTTTTGTGGTAAGAAGGAAGATAAGTAACTCTAATACCATCTGTATCTTTTCCTATTTCCAGCTTTTAGAATCTACTGGGAGAGATACCTCACATTTGGACCCAGGTTCCCCACTGACAAATGCTACCTCCCCTCACAGGCTGAATTCACTTATCTCCTTCCTGGATCTGTTGTCCTACCGGAGGCAGCTTTGTACCTCTGTATTAAGTTTGCTGGGGTCCCCTAACAAAATACAGACTGCATGGCTTAAATAACAGACTCGTAGGGATGCCTGGTTGGTTCAGTGGTTGAGCGTCTGCCTTTGGCCCAGGGCATGATCCTGGGGTCCTGGGGTCGAGTCCCGCATCGGGCTTCCTGCAGGGAGCCTGCTTCTCCCTTTGCCTATGTCTCTGTCTCTTGCTGTGTCTCTCATGGATAAATAAATAAAATCTTAAAAAAAAAAAAAATAACAGACACATAGTTCTCACCAAAACTGGCTGGGAATTTGAGATCAAGGTGTCTGCCGGTTTGATTTCTTCTGAGGCCTCCTTGGCTTGTTGGTTGTCTCTTCATTGTCTGGTCATCCCTCTCTGTGTCTGTGTCCTGGTCTCCTCTCCTTATAAAGATACCAGTCAGATTGGATTAGGGCTCACTGTAACAAACCCCATGTTAATATAGGTACCACTTTAAGTTATCACTCTACTCCCAAATACAGTCACATTCTGAAGTACTGGGGGTTATGGCTTCAACACATGAATTTGGAGGACACAATTCATCTCCTGAAAACATCCTTAACTCTTCAGTGGATCTGCTCTACATTTATGTACTCCTCGTGACTTCTCTAAGACCTGTTCATGTGTCTGTAACTCACATTCTTCATCTGCCCACTGGGCACACTAATCCCAGACGAGGAGCTTGTCTTTGTTATGTCCTGTCTCTTACTTTCTTGTTCCTTTACCTCTCCTTTCCTTTTGGGGTGTTAGCAGTTCCTCTCCTCATTACTGGCTGCTTTTTCCTTTTTTCTCTCAGGCTTGCCCAGATCTTTTCCTTCTTAGGATGGTTTTTGGTTTGGAAAAGAAGGATGTTTGGTACTGTTTACAGAAATGGGGTAGAGAATGAATACTTCTGGTTATACCACCCTTTTCCTTTTTTGGTCTCCATTTGCAGTTGTTTCTCCTCATCTTATTTCTACTGTGTAAATCTGTTACAGATGTATCATTCCTTCTCTATTCTTGCAGAGATCCCCATCTCACTCCCCAAATGTAGGCCCTCCTTTACTCTGACTGCTCTGCCTCACCCCCTTCCTCCTTGGCCTCTCTTCTTCCTCAGAGGTTTCACTTAGCAGCGTCTGGGTTCATTTTCATAAAAATGCCATTCCCTATATGTCTTCCCTGCTCCAGAACATTTGTTGAACACTTACTGTGGAACTCACTAAAGTTCCCTTGGCGTTCAGGGCCCCATAAAAACTCCCCCTGCTGCTTGCATTAATTGTGTGACCTTACTTTTCCTTACTGTGTGTCTTGTTCACTTCTGCTTCCTCGTCCTGTCCTGTGGCTGGCTAGAATGCCCTCCCCTGCTTTACACCTGATCCTTGCCAGAATTAGTGGCTATCTTCCTATACCATATCAATCTTTTGCTTCCTCATACTTCTGTAGCCTGGTGCCTGCCACATAAAGAACTAGCAGGTTCTTACAGAATTCTTACTGATTAGGTCTAGATTTTATTTTTCAAAGTAAAAAGTGAATTATTTCTTAAATGTTTATAGGTAAGCATATTCTTGTTCTTTGTGTATTAAACATGTGATTATGTCAATTTTCACAGGTTTAGAATTTTAGTAGTCAGGTAATAGTGGTTCCTGTAGCATATTTGATAATATGCCATCATTAGCATAAATACGTTATTGTTTTCTAGCATTTTGGGAGGCAGCATAAAATACTACTTACTTAAGCTACAGATTCTGGAGCCAGATTCCTTGCCTGTTTTTGAATCTTAGCCCAATCACTTATTACATGTGAGATGTTGGCAAATTATTTAACATCTCTGTGTGAATTTCTTCATGATGTTAACAATGAGACTTCTATAAATTAATGAATATGAGGTGTTCATCTGTGTTTGTAAAGTAAATGCTAAGTAGCTATATTACAACTAATGTTATTGGTACTATTATGTGGCGTTCTATGATGTGAAGAAGTTTTTGCACTTATTTTGATCACACTTTTTAAAAAATTTTGATCATACTTTTGTGTTTATTGTAGGTAGCTTAGATTTTTGGTTTGTCCAGAGGCTGCCTTTCCCTTCTTGCTCATCTCTGATCTTTCTTTACCATCTGATTTACAGTTAATTTGCTACCTGACTGGTTAATCCTAGCATCCTCTTCATCCGTCTAGCTTGCCCTGGAATGTTAGGTCCCTGGCTACCTGTTTAAAACCATGGTTTAGGATTTGAGTTAATGTGTAACTTTTTAATTGTAATTTTAATTTATTGAGATACTATTCACATTTTGTAAAATTCACCCTTCGAAGTGTCCATTTCAGTGTATAACTTCTTTTTCATTGATAATTAAAAGATGAATGATCTGGTCTTGAGGAAATGGAATTTTACAGTAACCAGAATATAAGGCAAGATTAATGTGGGTCAGAATCCATGTGAGGGTCTCTAGATTTTCGCTGATATAACCTGTGTGCCTCCTTGCTAATGTTTTTTGCCTTACATTCTTTGTTTTAAACATTAAGGCACAAGTTCTTCAACCAAGCGGAGTACTTCCGTAGGTAATAAAGAATCCAGTTCTACTAGAGAAAGATTACGTGAGCGTACCCGACTAAACCAGAGCAAAAAACTACCTTCTGCGGGTCAGGGAGCTAATGATGTGGCATTGGCCAAGCGTTCCCGCAGTCGCACTACTACAGAATGTGACGTTCGTATGAGCAAGTCCAAGTCGGACAACCAGATCAGTGACAAAGCTGCTTTGGAAGCCAAAGTGAAAGATCTTCTCACACTGGCAAAAACCAAAGACGTGGAAATCTTACATTTGAGAAATGAACTCCGAGACATGCGTGCTCAGCTGGGCATTAATGAGGATCATTCTGAGGGTGATGAAAAATCTGAGAAGGAAGCCATCATTGCTCACCAGCCAACTGACGTCGAGTCCACTTTACTGCAGTTGCAGGAACAGAATACTGCCATCCGGGAAGAACTCAACCAGCTGAAAAACGAAAACAGAATGTTAAAGGACAGGTTGAATGCGCTGGGCTTTTCCCTAGAGCAGAGGCTAGACAATTCTGAAAAACTCTTTGGTTATCAGTCCCTGAGCCCAGAAATCACCCCTGGCAACCAGAGTGATGGAGGAGGGACCCTGACCTCTTCGGTGGAAGGCTCTGCCCCTGGCTCGGTGGAGGATCTCTTGAGTCAGGATGAAAATACCCTCATGGACCACCAGCACAGTAACTCTATGGACAACCTAGACAGCGAGTGCAGTGAGGTGTACCAGCCCCTCACATCGAGTGATGATGCCCTGGACGCACCATCGTCCTCAGAGTCCGAAGGCATTCCGAGCATAGAGCGCTCCCGGAAGGGGAGCAGTGGCAATGCGAGCGAAGTGTCTGTCGCTTGCTTGACAGAACGGATACACCAGATGGAAGAGAACCAACACAGCACGAGTGAGGAACTTCAGGCAACTCTGCAAGAGCTAGCTGATTTACAGCAGATAACCCAGGAACTGAATAGTGAAAATGAAAGGCTTGGAGAAGAGAAGGTTATTCTTATGGAGTCTTTATGTCAACAGAGCGATAAGTTGGAACACTTTAGCCGACAAATTGAGTATTTCCGCTCTCTTCTCGATGAGCATCACATTTCTTATGTCATAGATGAGGATGTGAAAAGCGGACGCTATATGGAATTAGAGCAACGTTATATGGATCTAGCAGAGAATGCCCGTTTTGAACGAGAGCAGCTTCTTGGTGTCCAGCAACATTTAAGCAATACTTTGAAGATGGCAGAACAAGACAACAAGGAGGCTCAAGAAATGATAGGGGCACTCAAAGAACGCAATCACCATATGGAGCGTATTATTGAGTCTGAGCAGAAGGGTAAAGCAGCCTTGGCAGCCACATTAGAAGAGTATAAAGCCACAGTGGCCAGTGATCAGATAGAGATGAATCGCCTAAAGGCCCAGCTGGAGAATGAAAAGCAGAAAGTGGCAGAGCTGTATTCCATCCATAATTCTGGAGACAAATCTGATATTCAGGATCTTCTGGAGAGTGTTAGGCTGGACAAAGAAAAAGCAGAGACTCTGGCTAGTAGCCTGCAGGAAGATCTAGCTCACACACGAAATGATGCCAATCGATTGCAGGACACCATTGCAAAGGTATTGTTTAAGTAGATTAAATGTTCTGGATCAGCATTATGCAGCTGCAGTACACACCACGTTTACTGAAAACCAGTATTGCTTGGGTGTTGTGTCATTCACTTTTTTAAGGCAGATTTTGTTTTATTTTATTTTTTTGAAGGTTTTATTTATTCATGAGAGAGAGGGAGGCAGAGACACAGGCAGAGAGAGAAGCAGGCTCCATGCTGGGAGCCTGATGTGGGACTCGATCCCAGGACTCCGGGATCATGCCCTGAACCAAAGGCAGACGCTTAGCCGCTGAGCCACCTAGGCATCCTGCTGATTTTTAAAGCTCGAGAATGGTTTTTCTTTTATTGGGATACAATCAAAAGTTTTGTTTTTTTTTTTTTTTTTTTTAGAGATTTTGTTTATTTGAGAAAGAGAGCACAAGTGGGGTGAGGGGCAGAGGTCTAGAGGTCAGAAGCAGACTCACTGCTGAGCAGGGAGCCTGATGCAGGGCTTGATCCTGGGCTCTGGGATCATGACCTGAGCTGAAGGCAGACGTTTAACAAACTGAGCCACTAAGGCACCCCCAGTCTAAAGTATTCTTAAAATAGTTCATTTTCACTCACTTGTGTTTTACTACTGTTTTCCTACCTCTGAGACGAAGGGACTAAAATGACAACAGAATTTTTCCTAGTCTGGGTGTGCCCAGGGGATCGTGTTGTGCAATTTTACCTCCTTATCTCGAATGTATTTTGACAGAGAAAAGATAGAGCTAGCAGTTTAGTCTTTGGGATCAGCAGTGTCTACCCTGTCTTTTCCTGTGGTTATAGTTTTTCAAATAGAATTCTGTTGTGAGTTTAAAATCTTTTTGGAGTACAGAGGCTCCTGTTCCTTTTTTTAAAAAAATTATTTATTTATTCATGAGAGACGGAGAGAGAGAGAGAGAGAGAGAGAGAGAGAGAGGCAGAGACATAGGCAGAGGGAGAAGCAGGCTCCATGCAGGGAGCCCAACGTGGGCCTTGATCCTGGGTCTCCAGGATCACGCCTTGGGCTAAAGGCAGCGCTAAACCGCTGAGCCACCCAGGCTGCCCGCTCCTGTTCCTTAGAGGACGAGGTCTTATTGGTGGTGAGGACCTTAGAGGTCATGGGTCCAGCCCCCTTGTTTTACCCCTAGCATGATAATGAGGACTTATGCAGAACCTAGAGCCCGGGGTTGCTGGCATACCAGCCAAGGGTCTGTGCCACATGTGATTGCCGGTGTAGTGTTTGTTTACATGAGTTATCCAATTATTCTATCTTACATTTATTTCCTATTTTAGTGCAGTGATTTTTAAAGTAAGACATATTAATATATCTTTGGACAAAATTTAAATAATTTAGATCTTAATTTTTTTTATTTATTTTTATTTATTTATGATAGTCACACAGAGAGAGAGAGAGAGAGGCAGAGACACAGGCAGAGGGAGAAGCAGGCTCCATGCACCGGGAGCCCGACGTGGGATTCGATCCCGGGTCTCCAGGATCGCGCCCTGGGCCAAAGGCAGGCGCCAAACCACTGCACCACCCAGGGATCCCAGATCTTAATTTTTTAATGATGAAGTTTAGTGATACAGTTTAGGGGATATATTATTTGTTGGAGCATGTATGTTGGAGGGCACTTTGAGCTGATACTTTTGCAATGACAGTATTTGAGAATTTGAGAATTTTTTTTCATTTTTATTTTGGTAATGAAGCTGTCACACATCAGACATCTTTTTATTGTTGTTGGGAATGGATGTTAATTACTAATCAAATGCTTGCCTTTGGTTCAAACTTTGGAGAAGGGAAAATTTCCAAAATTTCCTCATAAATAATCTAGTTTAGTGTCATGTTAATATAATTTGTCAGTGATGTAGCAACAAATATGCTTACGCATATTGCATAAAATCTTATATTATTGTAGAGTACTTTTTCATACTTTCAAACAGTTATTATACAGGTGGTTTTAGTTCATACCTAGGAATTCATGTTTGGCTTTCTTTGGAACAGTGTATACTTCCATTCTAGAATTTATCTTAGAGAAGCTCTTAACTTTTCTAATCCATGCTATCAATTCTATATAGGTTGAAGATGAATACCGAGCCTTCCAAGAAGAAGCTAAGAAACAAATAGAAGAATTGAATATGACATTAGAGAAACTAAGATCAGAGCTAGAAGAAAAAGAGACAGAAAGGAGCGACATGAAAGAAACCATATTTGAACTTGAAGATGAAGTAGAACAACACCGAGCTGTAAAACTCCACGACAACCTTATTATTTCTGATTTAGAGAGTAAGTGATGGGGGAACTTTTCATTCCTTTTTGTTTTGTCCTTCCCGTGTTAACGAGTGGGGATAGTTCTCATTCAGTAACAGAATGAAAATTGGTCACTCTGTGCACTCTGGTGCACACACGGTGGCCCGCAGAAATATGCATGTGGCAAAGCATATTTCATACATTAGGTGATAGTCTTTGGACTGCTATGTCTTGTTCCTAAGGAGAAACTGTTAAGTGGAACCATTGCTTTAAAACTGTGTGTGTTTATGGAAAGTTATTTAACGGAAAAGCTGATTGTTACTATATTTTTCTAGGTCTTAGGAAAAGCCATTTATTATTTATTTCTAGTGACTGCAAACACACGAAGACAAAAGAAATCAGTTCTTCATAATCTTATGTGTAAGGCATAGGTTTTTATTTATTATCTGATTTTCCTCCCTACCAAGAAGATTTTATGATCTGATAGAATTGAAACTCTGATTTTAAGTTGCTTTAAGTTTTTTCAAACTATTTTATCATTATTTCAGACTTATAAAAAAGTTGCCAGAATAGTACAGAGCATTTCTGTGTTGACAGTTTGATGAGGAGCAGAAATTCGGGTGATCTTAAAATGTCTTTCCACAGACTATTTATTATGTTGCAAGTGAGGAAAAAGAAACAACCAGAAATTACACAGTGGAAAAATTGGGCAACACTGGACTGAGTGATTGTGTAAGTGACAGAGGCACACAGAATTGGACTCAGTATCAGCTGGGCCGTATTCTGGCTGAGGCATAACTTCAGTTAATCATAAAGAAACATGAAATAGACAAAAAATAAAGAATGTTTTACTAAAAACACAAGATGTCATAAAAGCTATGGAAAATTCCGGATTAAAAGGGCCTAGGGAGACATGACAATTAAATGCAATACCTGTGCCTAGACTGGGTCTAGTGCTGTAGGGAGAATGCCATAAAGGATGGTATGACAAAACTGTTCAAAAGTGGATGCTAGATAAACATATGTATAAATTTATGAAGTTGATATCTATGCTATATTTCTGTTCCTATACTTAGGAACCACACACAAAATATATTTAGGGGTAAAGGGCCATGATGTATATCCTTAAAGGGTTTAAGAAAAACATCAGAGATAGATAGAGACTGATAAATAGGGATACGAGATAGCAAATAATGAAAACAGGTGGGTAAACTGTTAACATAGGCAAATCTGAGGAAAATGGTATATGGGTGCTTTTTGTACCAGTTTTTGCAACTTTTCATAAATTTGGAATTATTTCCAAATAATGCATCTTAGATTCCTCAAATGTTAGCAAATTTTAAGTTGTAATACACTTTAATGATAACTAGGTGGGGACAAAAAGAATGGAAATGATTATTTTGGATACATTGGTTAAAGCTTTTAAATTTTGTGGTTCATCATACTGCTCCATTGGGCTCTGACAGTGTATTTTTCCTTGACAGCAAACACGGCATTGGGCCAGATCTCATGTGCTATTGCTGTAGAGGTGGGGAGGTTTGAACTAGTTCCAGGAGAGAGTGGGACATCTGCAGGAGTCCTCCTAAACATGTCTTGAGGCAGTTCTGAGCTCTGGCTAGTTGGCCCGGCTTCTGTGGTTTGACCCCAGGGTTATTTGGAACATTCTGAGACATTTGGATACTGAAGTAGCTGACCATAGGACTGTTTTCTTGGAGACAGTGATAGTCCTACAGATAAAGCTTTCTTATCTGAAATTTTTAAAAACTCCCAGTTTAACATTTATGTCTAGTCTGTATTTCATTGTTTCTGAACTGAGAGGAGTTATCTAACTCTATTTCCTAAATGTAAAAAGTTATAAAGTTTTTCAGATTAACTTGGAAGTTGAGTGCATTTTCCGTTAAGTACTGATAACAGCTTTTTCCCTTGCAAGACTTTTGATTTGAACACGGAAAGAGTGACATCTTGTGGTTATTGGGGCAATAGGTAGAAAAATGTTAGCTGATCAGGATTCCTGGGATGAAAAATCATTGCGAAAATAAAAATTCTGTTAACTGTATGTGGATTTTAATTATGAAGTGGCTGAAAATCCGAATGAAATTTCTTCTTAGCCATGTAGCTCCCCCCCCTCCAATTTTTTGAAATGAAAAGTTCAAATATCCAGAAATCTTGGCAGCGTGGTACAGTTAGCACCCATTGCCTAGAATTGATAGTTATTAATGTTTTGCAATATTTGCCTTCCGTGTGTGTGTGTGTGTGTGTGTGTGTGTGTAACAACCAGCTAACAACAAATTATAGACCTCATGACATGTAGTATGCAACCCCTAAATATTCTTCTCCTAATCATATCTAGTAATATTTGGCATAATTCCATAATTCTTATAGCTCATATTCACATTTTCTAAGCTGTCCCCAAAATGTCTCTTCTAGTTTTCTATAGGAACCAGGATCCAAACAAGATTTATGTATTAATTGAAACTCGTTATTCTATCTCCATAGTCTGATAGGAGTTAATTTATTTCTTAGTGAATTCTAGCACTTGGGGATTGATGGATGCTAAGTCAGCACTTGGTATAAGGGACTTGATAATGGGGAATGCTGTTACTTGAGAAATTGAGACTTTCTTCTCTCTTTTTTTTAAAAAGATTTTATTTTTAAGGGAGCATCTGAGTGGCATAATTGGTTAAGTGTCCGACTCTTGGATTCAGCTCAGGTCATGACCTCAGGGTCCTGAGATGGAGCCTCATCTCAGGCTCTGTGTTCAGCACCAAGTCCACTTGAGATTCTCTCTACCTCTCCTTTTGCTCCTCCCACTTGTGCTGTCTCTCTCTTTCTCTCAGATAAATAAATCCTAAAAAAAGATTTTATTTTTAAGTAATCTCTACAATCAACATGGGGCTTGAATTCAACCCCAAGATCTAGAGTTGCACACCCCACTGAGTGAGCCAGCCAGGTGCTCTGGAAAATTGAGATTTTTCTCCTGTGGAATATTTTAGCAGCCATTACCATAGTTAATTTTAGAATTTTTTCATCACCCTAAAAAGAAACTGTATGCATTAGTAGTCATTTCTCACACCAATATGACCTTGACTTTGGAATTAGTGGACAGGCTTTTATTTATTTTCATTTTTATTATTTTTTATTATTTTTTATTTTTTTGTTCTTTTAAACTATTTTTAAATATATTTTATATATATATATATATATATATATATATATATATATATATATATCTGAGAGAGAAAGAGTGAACAAGTGTCCAAGTGGAGTGAGGGGCAGAGGAAAGGAATCTGAAACAGACTTTCTGCTGAGCAGGGAGCCCAGTGTGGGGGATCAGTCTCACAATTGCAAGATCGTGACCTGAGTCGAAATCAAGACTGGGTTGCTTAACGGACTGAGCCACTCAGGTGCCCTGTGGACAGGATTTTAAGGCAGCTGTTGTAACTATACCCAGGACATTGAGGAAAATCCACTTGTAATGAATGAATAAATAGCAAATATCAGCAGAGAAATAAAAACTGTTAAAAAAGAATCTGATATGTATCCAGATAATGTCAGTGCCATATTGCTTAGACCTGGCCTGCCATACTTTTTCATACTATTTGGATTTAGCATTCCAAACTAGAAAGATCTGTTGTAAAATTCATTCAGCAATACTGTTGAGACTTTTGGTTCAAGATAATGGCCTGAGGCCACACATATACTTCCTTTCCCTCCCAAAGTCTTAGTGACTTGGTCCTGCCATGTAATATAAAAAGTACAATGAGCCTAAATCAAAGATAGAAAGTAGGTGAGGGGTTTCATCAGTAGATCCACAATTTTGAGTAACTTCTGGAAGATATATAGCAGATGGAATTGGGAATATCGAGAACTCAAACAGCAGAAAAATCTGTGCAGGAGAATACTGAAGCTATAAGTAATGATGTTCCCAGTTAGACTTTGGGGATTGGGGTACTAAGACCTTCTCAGGAATCATAGGGCCTGGGACCAGGAGCAGTTTCAGGCTGTGGTATACAGGATTGCCAGAAGTTGTACCACCCTCTCCTCTGTAGAGTGCTGGCTCTGGTGTTTGCCCCGAGGCTTGAATTCTTTTTCTAAATAAGTTGGGGCTCCTGCCATGACTTTAGTATCAGAAAGAGAAGTAAAGCCATGCCTGAGGTAACGACAGGCTGCCATGTTGTCTTGAAACGAAGACCACACATAGGGAAAGACAGTTTGGCCCAGCAGTGAAACAGGTGCGCACACACACATACACCCACCCCTACCCCTGTTGCCTTTTTTTTTTTTTTTTAAGATTTTATCCATTTTTTCATGAGAGACACACACAGAGAGAGAGGCAAAGACACAGGCAGAGGGAGAAGCAGGCTCCATGCAGGGAGCCTCTTGTGGGACTCGATCCCGGGTCTCCAGGATCACGCCTGGGCTGAAGGCAGTGCTAAACCGCTGGACCATTGGGGCTGCCCCGCTGTTGCCTTGATTGAAGCCATCCATTGAATGTCCCTGTACCTCTGGAAGAAGATACCCTGTAGGCATGTGTCATCAGCAAAGCCTTTAGCCAGTCGTTGCATTGAGGAGAGAGGCCGGTGTTTAGAACAGTAGCTTTCATAATTGTTGAGAAACATGTAGAAGTCGAAGTCACTAATATTAGTTATCCCTGTCCTTTTAAGTAAGTAAGGCCAAACCAGGACTTGGACATTTTAGTATCTTAAAAGAGAAATAGCAGAAGGAAGCAACTCAGCTGAGCCCAAAGAAATGAAGTTAATGATTTGACTCACCATTAGTCCAGCAAACCAAAGCTGATTGGTGTTGAGGGTAATGGTACCAGGGAGATTGCAGGTATGGCTTGAATGATGTACCCATCAGTTACAATGAATTTACTTACCAACCACTTAGTGTTTGTGTAGTAATGCTCTGTGTGTGCTTGCAATTATGTATAGCTTCTTTCATGCCTGCTGTAGTTCCTGAGATTGGGGGCTGGGGCCTGACATCTAACACAGGTCTTGTACTTTCACATGGAACACTACTTAAAGTGGTGAGCA